CGGCAGTACTAGATATAAAGAGGTAAGACCAACTAAATAACGTTAATAAGAAAGTCAATGTCCCACATTTGATTCTCCAGAATCGCATCCCTGGTGGTATGTGGACTTGGACCGACAGTGGTCCATCGACAGGGTGACTGTGGTCAAACCCGGCTCTGTCGACCTCAACCCCTTCTTCCTCCACATCGGCGACCATCGGCACGTGTCGGCGAACCCTCGGTGCGGGCAGAACCACAGCATCGCCGCCAACAAGTCGGAACTAACCGTCTCGTGCGGAGGCCTGCGGGGTCGATATGTGGGGATCCGCCTGGGAGTGGCGCGACTTCTGCAGTTCAGCGAACTCGAGGTTTACCCTGTCTCCGATGAAGGTAACGATAGTAATCATTACAGGATAGCATAAACTATTATCACAACCCATCAATAGCTTCTTCGCTCATGTTGGTTAAAGTTCTAAGTATTTATTTATTTATTTATTTATTGAAATTGCGACGAATACAATACAATGTGGACACAAGGCAGCTAATCAGCTGATGGCGTGACCACATACATAGAATATACATACATACATACAATATACATGTCAAACAGCAAATACAATTGAATAACAAGAAAGAGCTAAGAATCATGTACATCTATATACAAAAATAGCTAAGATTAGAAAGGTGCTAAGGCATGTAAATACCATAAAAACTAGAACTTAGTACAATATGGAAAAGCAGAGGATCAGCTGGAAGTAAATCTTTTTGTAGATGTTATAAACGTGTGAAGTGCATCTGAAAGTTGCTTATTGATAGTAGGGTCATGGTCTGGTGAACCTTGAAGTAGGAGGGAAACGGTGGGACGTTGTTGGACAAGTCGTTCAACAGCTGCAGTAAGTCTGCTGCGATGGTCAGAGTATAGGGGGCAGTGTAATAAGTAGTGCTGGACTGATTCAGAAGAAGAACCGCAGACACATGCTTTGCCCTTGATCTTCATCTTGTATAGTGTACTGTTCAGTTGGCACCAGCCCACGCGTAACCTGGTAGTGCGTATGTTGTTCGGCCTTGAGCCTAGAGTACGGTACATCTGATGATGCCTCGTGGTCAACAGGTGCTTTTACTCGCTCTCTTGAAAGCAGCAAGGTTGCTGGCGTCT